CGTCGTTAAGTTAACTTACTTCTTCCTCTCTCTCTCTCTCTCTCTCTCTCTCTCTCTCTCTCTCTTTAACACACGCATCAAAGCATTCTTTTCTGCGAAACTGGGTCACTCGATCGTTCCAATTAGCCCGGTTTAATATTCTCCCGAATATCGCCATTCTTACGATCGAATCGGCTCGGCTCAATTTCGACATAACCTTCACCGCGAGGTATATCAAGCCTGGAGCGGACCCCCTTCCATTCTTTCGTTCGATCCGCCGTTTCGTTCCCACGTTTTCGCCTTCCAACGTTTTCCAACGCCGCGATAGGAAGAATGGAAGAATCGCAAGGGGGGCGCAGTTTCGCGTTCAATTAACGCCGTTGAACAGACCGATCGAGGGAGCGGAGCGACACCAACAGCCGCTATATCTATAGCTGGATCCACACTCGATTAAACGACTACCCAATAAGTGACTCCACGACGATATTATCGGCTCGCAAATGACGCAGCTTGCTGCTGCTCTTGCGACCGTGACTCTGCTTGCACACACGGATACAAGGAGGTGAAACCTAGGATCTAGGAGGATCGAACACGCCATATATCACAATATATATATATCGCCTGTTATCGAATCTTTACGTTATTAAGAGAGTTCACGAGATTCGAAAGATTCTTCGGTTCGATTATTTTTTTTTTTTTTCTTTCTTTCTTTCAAAGGAAATTGAAACGTGTCCACTCGCTTTGCCATCGTCGATGAGAAACGGAAGCTGGTGGATATTTTTAAAAGGACAGGGGAAAAAGAAAGGTCGGATAGGATCGAACGAGGTTATAGGTAGGTAGTATAGAGCAGATAGGTAGAGCTCATTAACCGCGGCACACTCCATTAGACAGTTGATTATTCCAAGCGAGGATAAGCCAGCCGTGTTGTAGTCCACTGTAGTTCGCATGCCAAGCGTCGAGACGCGTCACGACACGCTCGCGCTACGTGCTCACGCGTTTCTTCTCTGCTCCTGGCATACACATGACCGCACAGACGCAGTTGCACGATCACACACACACACACATATATATATAGCTAATAGAGCTTACTAACTAGTGCCTGTGGCCGCTAGACTATTTGAGTTTGCCAAGTAGTAATAATTGTTTCTAGGAGGAGGCAACGTTGTCCGGACGATAGCCGAATAGGGCCAAGTCCGACCGATCCGCCCCGAGCTGTATTGCTAACGCGGAGCTGCTTAGCTCCAATGTATATATACCGAGCTACATCAGATTTTGAAGGTAATTTCGACCTCCTGTCTTCGAATTTCGGAATATTTCTGACGGAGAAACGAGCTAATAAGCTGTGTACAGATTGTAAAATTGACAAAATTGAGAAAAGCGCGAGAGAGGATACAATGCTTGAGTACAATGCTTGTCCAATTAAGTGACTTTTGATCTTTGCCACTCGCCTCGCCAACACGCTTGCTCTTCCACCATCTTTGATCATACGACTGCGACGTATTCATCTCTGGATATTATCGTCTTTTGCCCGTCAACGAATAATCTATTCTTGTTATCTAATCTTGTTATATTTTACTTAGAAGGAGTAGAAGTTTTATCATGAATTATAAAAAAAAAAACCATAAATACTCAAATACTTCCCATCATTCCCCTGGTTTTTTTTTCACCCTCGTCATAGGATACTCGATCATAGGATAAATATTTTTTCCAGTCACATAGGACGACGTCTGACCGTATCCTGGGTGCTTTCACTGGGAGCCATCCATCATTGTCCGTCTACGTACATGTTTATTCTACTGTGACATCGACAACGACTATACAGCTATCGTAATCCACGATATGCTTAAAATAAAGCTGAGCTTCACTAAGGCTAATTAATAATTCGAGGCTAATTAATTTATCGAAACGATCTATTCTTTTTCGCGTTTCACCTTTACCCATTGATTTAATAACGAATTTTTTGATTTCTGGAAAAGTCGAGAGGAAAGCCTCAAATCCTATCTTTTACCCGACAAATTTCCGGATAATCAATTTCGCTTTATTTCGTGCGCGAAATATGAGTGCAAGTTGCGTACGAGCCGATCTTCTTCGCACGATGAGAAAACCGCAACCCCTATTTTTCAACGCGTCAACAAATCGATTTAACAAAAAAATATACCGCCACGACGAAAGATTCCCCCCTTCACGGCCTGGCTGTTTGTCACGCTGTCAATTTCGCGTCGCTATTTCGCTCGGTTTAGCTGTTTCCATCAACGCCCACTGTTGAGAAATTTTATCTAACTATATACGTATAAACAAATTGCGAGGTAAATATTGCGTAAACAAGATAAAATCCTGATTGAAGCACAGATTAAAAAAGAGGAAGATATCATATATGTTATCATTTATGTCCAAAATTTATTAAACTGCATTGTTGCACCATGCTTTAAATGGTGCATCAAACTACATAACTGCAGAAATAATGTGAACGATGTACTTGCTTCTTCCATGTAAAAACACATTAACGAAATTAAGAGACGCGAATCAAAAATGGATACGCTCCGTTTACGAGCGTTATCGATCTAAAAAAAAAAAAAAAATAAGTTCCATCCGTGTTCCCGTGTTGCATTCCTTTGGATTTTTCCCAACTGTTCTCCGTGCCGGAAAATCTCAGCTCCGTCGACTTCTTATCCCGTGTTACCGTGAGCATGTGAGAGCGCGTTGAAAGAGTTGAGTTTCGAAACTACGCCGCGTAACGACGAATCCGAACAATGCCCTCCCTTCCCCCCTCTCGAGCTGTCTACGTCGATCACGTCATGCCCCATGGAATGGAGTTTCCTTCGCTTTCTTTCCGCCGTCCAAAAAATCGTCTGAACGGTACCGACGTCGAATCGATATTCGCCGCATCGCGTAACAATCGAATCCTGAATGGAATCCTTCCACTATTCGTCGTAGTCGTCGATTTCTGCTCTATCTCCCTCCTTCTTCAGTAGCTTCTTCCGCCCTACTGATCACGGATAAACAGATTCGATTCGTGCGATCAGTAGTCGAAGACATCGTGAATCTGCGGATAGGGGATAATTAATTCGTTTTCGAAATTTTTCCAAGAGATTTTTATTTCGATTTCAGAGCGAGGAAAAAAGGGGAGGGGGAATAAAATTTAGACGAGCGGGAAGAGGAGGGAATAATTATTTAATTGGTAGAAATAATATCCGTGTGCCGTTAGTTAAGTGTCCGAGTAGTGGTACGAGTCAATAAATGGCTCGACGCCGGGTACAGGTCGTTCCCATACAAGCATGTGCTGCCGTAAATTAACCCTTAAACGATAAATCGATTTTCAATTTCACCCTTGAATCAATCAGAGCCATTTTGGACGGGCAATATTCGCAGCGCATCGTCGAACAACGCGTTCAAAGAACGGTAAAAATTCCGTGGTATATTAATGGAGACCGGTAAAGGATGAAATTCGATATTAACCGATTCACGGAAGTATTCTAATAAGCCGAGAAAAATTGGCGAAATAAACGGATGATCATCTATCATCGGCCATGTCCGAGTTTTATCCGCGATTCAAACGGATCGATATTATATCTTCGTTTTTTCG